TAAAAAAAAAAAAAAAAGTCCATACTTTAGTAGCACAAGAGAGCCCACAAAGTTTGGTGGGAGCATTAGGCCCAAACCCAAAATCCATCAAGTGAGAAATAGAAAATAATCAAATATATGTTACTTATGATAGCCTTTTGTCCTCCAAATTTCACATACATCACAAGTTATATAGTTATCAAAGATATCTGCTAAATTCCATATTTAACAATTAATTGTATGGTTGTGAATATAATGAAAGGTACTCTCCGTGCTAGCCGTTACCGTTGGAGCCGTTTTATCCATCAGAAAATTCGAAAACACGTTCGAAAACAGTCATCAAAGAATCGGGCTCGCACTTTATGCCGCTGTTTATTTTCAGCTCTTGATCGGATGTAGGCGGCCTAAGAGGTAAATGTACTACAAAAAAATTCAAAATTAGTATATAATAATAAATTTCAAAAAAAAAAATAACATTCTGTTAAAAGTTTTTTTTTTCGTTTAATTTCGTGCAGGGGAACTGCAAGTAGGCGAACGTGGTATTTTTTGCATTGGCTACTCGGCACGACTATATGCTTAGTCGGGATTTTGAATACTTACACGGGCTTACAAGCTTACCGTAAGAAAACGTCGAAAAGCGCGACTCTTTGGGCAGTAGTTTTCACAGCACAAGTTTCATTTATGGTGATTTTCTATCTATTTCAAGATAAATGGGAGTACATTTTAAAGCAAGGGATGATTGGAAGTGGTAATGGTGATGGTGAACTCAACAACACTTCACCAGTTGAATTGGAGAACCAAATAAAGGAAGTATTGAGTGAGCCAAGGAAAAGCAATGCACTTGGGACTCATTTCTTGAGAAGCAATGCACTCAATAAGCTATTTCAATTGACATGAACTATTTAATTTTGTAAATATATATTTATGGGAAATACTAAGCTCCCGTTACGGTAGTATCCCGTCGGGTGTTTTAACCATTAGATACATATGTAGTTAGATGATCTAACAGTTAAAACACCCGACGAGATGGTACCGTAACTAGAGCTTAGTATTTCTCTATATTTATTATCCTTTTTTTTTTTTTCCCTCTCTCTCAACATAGTAGTAGTTGTGATTTATATGAGTAAGTCAACCTTTTTTAGTTGTATGGTAAGTCAACCTTGTTTAGTTGTATGGTATGTAATTAGTCCATTGTAAGGCTTCGAGAGTTTTTTTTTTTTAATTGTTTTTTAGTTGTATTATTAGTTTTAAAATGGATGTTATTACAATGTGAACATTTTATTTAAGTAACAAACAACTAATTTTTGGATTTATCTTTCATAGTAGTACCTTTAGCATTTGAACCTTATACATCTTAGAAAGGTAAACGAGGTGAACTAATAGAGTTTTTATTGAGCTTGACTCACTGTTAATATTAAATATTAATGGTCGAACGTGAGCTAAAAAATTAGAAAAAAATATGTACAAATCCCTATTTTAGAGCCTTTATGAAGCTAAAAATTTAGGAAATTGTATAATCGGGTTCACGAGCTGCTTGTTTCGTTTAATAGCTCTAGTATAAATTATGCTCCTCAATGATTGAAATGACAATGGAGAACACCCTATTTCAAAGTTAACGAGCCCGAGATCGACTTGATTCATTCATTCTGGCATTACCCATAATTCATGGCTTCAATGTTGTTGGATTCATCAGTGTGATTGGACATATATTTGATCGATAAAAAATTATTCAAAACTCAAATTTAACTCAATTTTAGCATAATCTCACAATCTTCAATATCATCAATATAATTAAATATTATCAACTTATCATTCTTACAAATCACATCAAATTTAATTCACTATTTGTTCCCTCACATAATTTTAATTAATCATCACTTCCAATCAATTTTCTCTTATTTTACATCAAATCAATTTCAATAATTTTATTTAAAATATTATTTTTTTTAAACTTAAATTCCCACTAACAAACTTCAGTGTTCCCTAATAATTGAAATGGCAATAGAGGGGCATTTTTGTCAAAATACCCACCAGCACCACCCTCATTATCCAATTTGAGTGTCACACATCTGCCATTTTCTAGCTTCACTTTCGTCAACTGCAAGAGAATTCCACTCCAATGGCGTCTAATGATCATCACGAGCACCACCACCACCACCACCATCATCCTCATGAGTAATCTGCTAATTTTATCCCCAATATTTTTACAAAT